AAGTTTTAGACATAGATCTTTACACACCCTAAGATTATAGCAAACAAAAATAGGTCTTGTGTGTTAGAAATCCACCAATACACTATGATGAATTTCGACCACCACTTGATGATAAGTTATGAAACAAACAAATAAAAGACAATAGAATTATTTCTGCAGAGTTTCTCTCTGCCCACAAACTGTGGAAACTTTATTAATTCACTTTGCAACTGCAAAATACTGTGAATGACTTCAATGACTTGAATATTACAAAATAAGGGTTACTCCCTCTTATTTATAGATTTAGGTTAGCTTGCTCCCTAAGCTAAACCCAAGCCCAAAATATCTCTTTACTAAATCAAATCTAATCTAGATTTAAATTCAAATCTATTTAAATCTAAACAAATCAAATCTTATTTTTTGACACCTATGAATTACAATTTAACACACCACCTAATTCATTGTGTCTAAACTGTCTATGTTCATCATGGCCCTTAGTTTTCTGAATACTTCGACCTGCACTCCCTTCGTCATGATGTCTGCAATCTGATTCTCAGTTCTGCAGTGTTCCAAATTCATCTTCCCATCTGCTACCCGCTCTCGAAGATAATGGAACCTCATTTCGATGTGCTTACTTCGACCATGTGCTATTGGGTTCTTCGCCAGATTGATAGCTGACATGCTGTCTATCTTCATGGTAATTGCTCCATGATTTTTCCCTGTTATCTCTTCGACCAAGTTCACCATCCAGGTTGCTTGGCATGCACAAAGAGAAGCAGCTATGTATTCTGCTTCACATGATGATAATGCTACTACTGGTTCTTTTCTCGAACTCCAAGCAATTGTTGCACCACCTAGCATAAACACATATCCTGCTGTTGACTTTCAATCTCCAGCATCACTACACCAACTCGAATCAGTGTATCCCACTAGCTTGCATTCTTTTCTTTTATCAACTGCAGGAAACATAATGCCATAATCGAAAGTTCCTTTGAGATACCTTAGTATCCTCTTCACAGCTGCTAGATGTGATACCTTTGGCTTCTGCATGAATCTACTTACCATACCTACACTGTATGCTAAGTCAGGCCTTGTATGACAAAGGTATCTCAATGATCCAATAAGTCTTCTGTATTGGGTTGGATCAACATCATTTTCATCTGCATCTTTCGACAGTTGCAATCTTGGTTCTGCAGGTGTCGAAGTTGAGTTGCATTCTTCCATCTCAAACCTCTTGAGAATTTCCCCTGCATATCTTCTTTGATGCATCATCAAACCTCTACTGCTCTTGTGGAATTCGATACCAAGGAAATATGAAATCTCACCCAAATCAGACATTTCGAATTCCTTGCTAAGATCAACTTTGAAGTCTTCGATCTCACTCTTGCAGCTACCTGTTATCAACAAATCATCTACATAGAGACATAGTATAAGCAATTTACTCTTGCTTCTTCTTACATATACTCCATGTTCAGTTATGCACTTCACAAATTCCTTCTCCCTTAGAAAACTATCAATTTTCTTATTCCAAGCCCTTGGAGCTTGTTTCAAACCATACAGGGCTTTATGTAGCCTGTACACCTTTCTTTCTTCGTCATGTTTCACAAACCCAACTGGTTGTTTAACATAGACTTCTTCATCTAAGGGTCCATTTAGGAATTCACACTTCACGTCCATCTGACATATGTGCCAACTGTTGATTTCTGCTAGACCAACAACCAACCTGATTGTTTCGATCCTAGCAACAGGTGCAAAAACTTCGTCGAAGTCTATTCCTTCTTTCTGTAGAAATCCTTTCGCCACAAGTCTTGCTTTGTGTCGAGTTACTTCACCTTTCGAATTCGTCTTCACTTTGTATACCCACTTGACATCAATTGCCTTCTTGCCTTGAGGCAATTCGACAAGTGACCAAGTGTTGTTGTCTTCGATAGACTTTACTTCTTCGTTCATTGCTTTCACCCACTTCGAATCCTTTAATGCTTCAGCTGCATTAACAGGTTCGACATCTGCATAGAAAGCATAATGTACCAGCTCACCTTCATTATCTATTACATCATCTGATGTAATCACACAATCTTGCAATCTTGCAGGCATGCGTCTTGTTCTTTGAGGTCTGCTTGTACTGGGTATATCTGCTGGCTCCTCTTGTCGAACTTCTCTTTCGACTTGAGTTTCTGGCTCTTCGAATAAGATTCTCACTGAATCTTTCTTGACATTTGCAGTCCAATCCCATTCTTTGAACTCATCTATGATCACGTCCCTGCTGATTACAATCTTCTTGTTCTCTGGATCGAATAACTTGTAGCCTCCTGTCGAATGATATCCAACTAGGATCATTTGACTTGACTTGTCATCAAGTTTCTTTCTCAACTGATCTGGCACATGTCTATGTGCAATAGATCCAAATACTTTCAGATGACTTAAGCTAGGCTTCACACCAGACCAACATTCTTCTGGAGTAATTCCTTCTAGCTTTTTTGTAGGACTTCTGTTCAAAATGTATGTTGCAGTCGAAACAGCTTCACCCCAGAACTCTTTGGGTAAATTCTTGCCTTTCAACATACTTCTCACCATGTTCATGATGGTTCGATTTTTCCTTTCTGCAATTCCATTTTGCTGTGGAGTATAGGGTGGCACCACCTCATGCACAATCCCTTCCTTTTCACATAATCTGTCGAAATCTTTCGACACATATTCTCCTCCACCATCAGTTCTCAAAACTTTGAGCTTTCGACCACTTTGTCTTTCGACCATGGACTTGAACTTGATAAATACTTCGAACACTTCACTTTTCTTCTTGATCAGGTAAGTCCATAGCTTTCGACTGAAATCATCTATGAATGTAACAAAGTATTTGTTACCTCCCATCGAATCCACCTGAATTGGTCCACATACATCAGAGTATATGACTTCGAGACTAGCCTTCGATCTACTTCCTGCATCCTTGCTGAAGCTGTTCTTGTGTTGCTTCGCCTGTACACATTCTTCACATACTTCGTTTGGAATGTCAATTTCAGGCAATCCTGAAACCATATTTCTTCTCTTCAAATCTCTGATGTCTCTGAAGTTGAGATGACCAAGTCTATAATGCCATATCCATTCATCTCTGCTAGCTGCAGTCGAAAGGCACTTGTGCTTCATCACATTTAGTTCAATCTTGAAGGTTCGATTCTGAGACATAGGAGCCTTCAAGATTAATCTCCCATTTGCATCAACGACTCTCATCAACTTATCTTCGATTGACACTTTATAATTCTTTTCGACCAACTGCCCTATACTGAGCAAATTGCTCTTCATGCCTGGTATGTACAATACATTCGAAATTACTGACTTCTTGCCATCTTTCCTCATGATCATAACATCACCAATACCTTCAGCTGCTAGGGTGTTGTCATTTGCAAATTTTACCATATTCTTCGTTGAGGGTTTTATATTGACGAACCAGTCTTTCCTTCCAGACATATGTGATGAACATCCTGAATCCAAGTACCATTGGTCCTTGAATCTGTCTTCATCTCTTGTTGTGACCATCAGCATCATCTCTTCTTCTTATTCATGTTTTGCCAGCTTTGCATCACTTTCTTGATTCTTTCGTTTTTCTGGACAATCACTCGAATAGTGACCATACTTCTGACAATTGTAACATTGAATGTGACTCTTATCAGGTTTTCGACCACCACCTCTTCCTCTGTTTGCAGCACCACCTCTTTGGTTTCCGTGGTGTGGTCTTCTTTGATTCGACACGTCTCCTTCGATTTGGTTTCCTCTACCATTCGATTTGTTGTAGCCACCTCTACTTCTGTCGAAATACTTTCCTTTGCCTTTGGTTTCTTTTGCTGAATGTGCCTGCAAGGCTACATCACTCTTCGATTTTCCTGCAGCTCTTTCGTTCATTCTTTGTTCATGAGATTCGAGCGTCCCTTGAAGCTCTTCCTTTGTCAATTTCGACAAGTCTTTCCCCTCTTCGACCGCCACCACTATGTGGTCGAACTTAGGAGCTAAGGATCTCAAGATCTTCGAAACAACAGCTCTTGTTGTTAATGTTTCTCCACATGTCTTGATTTGATTCACTAGTTTTGTAACTCTAGTGAAGAAATCAGATATGTTTTCACTGTCTTCCATATGAAGCAGTTCATAGGTCCTTTTGTGAGTTTGTAACCTCACTTCTTTCACCTTCTCAGCGCCTCCAAAAGACTTCTCCAGGATCTCCCAAGCTTCTTTTGCAGATTCTAAATCACTAATCTTTTCGAAGTTGTCTGGGCTGACACATTGATGAATTATAAACAATGCTTTATAACTCTGCTTCTCAGATTCTGTATATTTCTTCTTTTCTTCTTCTGAAGCGTTTTCGCCAAGCGCTTCGACTCCATCTTTTACAAGGTCCCAAAGGCCTTGACACCTTAATAGGACTTTCATCTGCTTGCACCAATTCTCATAGTTGTCAACTTTTAGAATTGGCAGCGTTGCTGGATAGTTTGCATTCCCATAACTTGTCATCGTGAATTCTTCAATCGTTCTTGATTGATACTTCCCTTGAATCCTAACACAAGCTCTTGATACCAGATGTTGGAAATCCACCAATACACTATGATGAATTCCGACCACCACTTGATGATAAGTTATGAAACAAACAAATAAAAGACAATAGAATTATTTCTGCAGAGTTTCTCTCTGCCCACAAACTGTGGAAACTTTATTAATTCACTTTGCAACTGCAAAATACTGTGAATGACTTCAATGACTTGAATATTACAAAATAAGGGTTACTCCCTCTTATTTATAGATTTAGGTTAGCTTGCTCCCTAAGCTAAACCCAAGCCCAAAATATCTCTTTACTAAATCAAATCTAATCTAGATTTAAATTCAAATCTATTTAAATCTAAACAAATCAAATCTTATTTTTTGACACCTATGAATTACAATTTAACATTGTGGAATACCACATACACGTGGGGTGATAATACATTTCTCTTGTGTAACCGACTTTCTTATGTTTTCTCTTGGTCGCAAGACCATTTTATTTATTTATCTGAGGTTCTCTCGATATCTTTCCTACCTTCAAAATAAATAGAATTCGGTGACGACTCTGTGTTTTTTTCCGAAGTACGACATCTCCAACACAAAACTGCACCACTGACAAAGAAACAGGACTCACCCTGTGTGTGCAACCGTAACATCATCGCGTGCACTGCTCGCCATTCCATCGGAAGCCCACTGCTCAGACCGTACCATTTTCCATTGCCGGTTAGTATTGCATTCATTACATGTGTTGTTGTATAGTTTTTTTTAGTTCTGATTTTGTTGTGCAAAGAGGAAGATAGATATGGGTTTGATCTGTTTATTCTGATACATATGCGTTGTTATTATCCTTTGGTTTTATGATTTCATTTTTTTTATATATTTAAGCCATGTGTCGGCAAGGTATTGAGTGAGAAATTGTGTGGAAAATTCATAACAAGTTTGGTTGTACTCATTGAAAACAACGCCTCACCCTGTAGCACTTTCTTGTTTTTTTTTGTTTTTTTTTTACTTTTAATTGATTTAATTAGGGTAAGAAAAATATTTGGGCTCATTTATTTCTCTATTTCTAATTTCACCCCTTCATTTAATTTTATCTCTTAAGTTATTTAATTTATTTCACAAATTAATTTTTTTAACTATTTAGAATTAATTTGAGTTCTATTACAATAAAAGAATAATGTTTTTTTTTTAAATAATCAAATTAACTTGTGTATGTTTTAATTTTCTGAGTAAATCATTTAACTCGTCACTTGTAAATAAATCTAAGACATGTATATAGATTCAAAAAAAATTTCAAATCAAATTGAATATAATTTTCGCAAATAATTGAATAGGTGGATGCACTCTACAATATCCTTAAATAATCGATTGGTCGGCTCAACGTCTTACCAATTAATTATTCAAATCAAAATATTAAAATTCATTCAACATATCAAACTTTAATTTTCTCTCCACGCGATAATCATACAATACCCTTCGTCCATGCGGCAACAAATCAATTTCTTTGCCCCACGTAATATAATTCTTATAAAGATCAACTCTTTTTTTCAACCAACTAAACATACTTCAAACTACATAGGACTATGATTTCTCTCATCTTTTGATGAAGATACGCAGGCAAACGTTTGCAAAACCAAGGCGAGTCCACTAACCTAAAACTAACCTTTCCCGTTTACCCCCTTTGTACAATACACTTCCTTTCTAAATACTTAAAGTAGATTAAGCAAGAAAAAGTAAACACACATAAAACCCTAAGATTAGAAGAAGTTCCCCTTGAGTACAAGGGAGATGAGGGGTGCCTAGTACCTTTCTCTCGCTTAATTGACTCACAAACCCTTAACTTGATTTAAAGACCGCATTATCCTTCAACTTTAGGGTTTTCCCATTAGTTCCCCGCCCTTAGGACAAATAAATAATGGTGGCGACTTCATTGAGTTTATCCATCCGTGACACACACCTAAGCCAGTTTTTTACCGGCATTCCAAAATTCAACCTCGCTAGGCCCTTTTTAGTAAAATAAAACCATTCTTTCTTGAAATGCTTACCCTGAAGTCCAATTTTCATTAGCATACATCCATTAACTCATTATATACATTGATCAATCATTACATTCCATGTATCATTTCATGCGTATCATATCCACGGACGTGATGTGCTATGCCAGGTAACAAAAGGCATGTTATGCATAAAAAAATGCATCAGCACAAAACATGCATATCATAAGTTGGGATCCCGCGATCAATCATGGAAGTCCAAATTAATCCCCAACAGAAACTATTAAAACTCTCCAGTGAGTTTTTTTTCTCTTAGCAGGTCTTCTTGTTGGATGACACAACAATTGGTCCTCCCCACAGAGTCTCCTTTAAGATTAATCTCCAATAAGTATTCTTCTCAATGAGTTCTTTCTAAAGTCTTTCCTATAGGGCGGACGCCTTAAGCGATCATAATCAATCCTCACTAGATTTCCCTAGTGAGTCTACTAACCTTGATCTAAGCATCAATCTTTGGGTTGACAACGATCATTTTGTCTTGATCTAAGCATCGACCTTTGGGTTGACGGTAATCATTTTGTCTTGACTAAGCTTCAACCTTCGGGTTGACGATGATCAATTTGTCTTGATCTAAGCATAACCTTCGGGTTAAGGACAATTAGTTTGCCCTAATCTAAGCATCGAGCTTTGAGTTTACGGTGATAATCTTTTCTTGATCTAAGCATCAACCTTCGAGTTGACGACGATCTTTTCCTATTTTGATCTAAGCATCAACTTACGAGTTAATGACGGTCTTTTTTTATGTTTTGGTCTAAGCATAAACTTATGAGTTGACGAGGATCTTTTCCTGTTTTGATCTAAGAATCAACTTATAGGTTGATGATGATCCTTTTTCCTATTTTTGGTCTAAGCATCAACTTACAAGTTGATGACGATCTGTGTCCTCGGATTTTTAGTTGATCTATCAATTATTCAAATATTTATCTCTTTCATTGTTTCTATGTGAACAAAAATTAGATCCTTTATATTTAATTATCATCTACCATGATTCTATGAAGACTGGAGATATTTCTCTAGCCGAAGATAATTAAATAAGAGCAGTTGTCGTACCCTAATTTTTGTCCCAAATTTCCTTGTTCATTCCATTTATCCATTAAGACACTTGAACTTTGCACTAGTTGTTTCTATTAAGTTAATTCACCTGATTGGTCATTTTCGTTTTCTACATTAATCCATTATCCATCATACACTTGCATTTTACATCAATAAAAGTCAAAGTCAAAGTCAACTACAATATTTCCTTGAGCTAAAAGCCAAAACTCAAATCCATTTAGGTACTTACATCCAATATGTGCATTTGTACACTACATATAATTCAGCCCATGACCATAAGTATATTCATCCAATTATCATTCAAAAGTTCAAGTGAAAAAGAGCACAATATGAACATTACATTACAAGATAAATTTCACAACGTCAAAAGTCTCTAGTTCTCATTCATACATCATTAACCATGCCTCATTATATAATTAATGAATTATTCATCATTTATCCATTCATCTCAATCACATGTGCATTGTAAACTAAAACAAATGCACAAATTGGCTTGCAAATTATCATTTCAATATATGTCCATTAGTTTCATATCGTACATACTTAACAAAAGAAAAACAATTGAATTGACAAAAGAGATATATTCCCTAACAACCTCTGCACGATTTGTGCAACCAATTTCTTCCCCTTCGCTCATTCACATGGCCGCGCGCGTGTTTGACTTGTTTCTACTGATTTCTTGGTTTGCAACTATGCCTCCAATTTGGGCCCATAATTATTGTTGATCTAACCCCTCTTTTCAACCTCACACCCTTGTTGATATGAGACAATTTGATATTGGGCCTCTCTTTGGGTCATACGCTACACCCCTTCTTTCTCTTTTGACATTTTTTATTTAGCCTATTTTTTATTTATTTATTATTTTATTTATTGGGCCTCAAGCCCATTTAGGTCTTACACAAAACACCCCGTTGCATTTTGTTCCCCATTTTTGTTTTGCATGCTTACTTTTTGTTTATTCCTTTTTTATCTTTCTAATATTTCATTTAAGTATTTATTAAATGTTTTAAATAACTAGATTAATCAAATTAAAATCAAAATTATTCACAAATCAAATTATTATTTAATAACTTGATCAACATCAACTCCATTTTCCCGATTAAGCAAAATTCATTTCACGATTAAAAAATTAAATTTATTTTCTCATTTGACAACATCAAGTCTTTTTTCCCGTTTAAACAAAAATTGTTTTTTTAATAAAATCAGAAGAAAAGGGAATGGATGATTGAACATCCAATTGTTCTTCGAAAAAATGATTGGTTGGCGTATGCCATATTAATTGAATGTTTTTCTTCTAAATGAAACATATTAATCAAATTTGGATGAAAAGGGACGGAATGGATGAACACTCACTTGTTCCTCGAATAAACGGTTGGTTGGCGAACACAATATTGATCGAATATTCATCTTCTGCCAATAAATTTCAAAATTCTAAAATTGGATGAAAATGAAATGGGTGGATGCACATCCACATGCTCCTCGAATAAACGATTGTTTGGCGTATGTCATATTGATCCAATACTTGTCAAGCACCCTTGTAAAGAACCTATTTTTAGTCTTTTATTTCTCTTTATAAACAAATAATAATAATTAGAAGAAAACAAATAACGTTTGCTACATTCATATTCGCAAAATTAACTAAATAATTCTCGTTGAGTATAATAGATGTGAGGGGTACTAATATCTTCCCCTTGTATAATCGATTCCCGAACCTAAATTTGTTTGTGATTACTATGTTTTTTGTTCTTTTAGAATTTTATCAATGTTTTCCGTCTAAAAAATAAACTTTGATGGCGACTCTATTATATTTTAAGCGTTCGTACACTCGAATATTATTTGCGCCACCACAATTATCTCGCCGACACTTCAGCTATTTTTGTACCACATCACTCATATTTTATGTGGTACACTCTAAAATTCATCTTCACTTCTCAAATTATTAAAAATTTCTTAAAATAATTAAAAGTTCAAAAATAATTAAAACTAATATGCATCTACCCGTGCGAGTATCAATTATTTTCACATTATTAAAAATTTCATATAAGTTCTCATTATAATATTTTAAATATAATTTTATAATATTTTAAAAATTAACAAGTAATATATAAAAATATTGTGCACCAAATACATGTAATTTACAGTTTAAAATTAAATATTTAAAATAGATTCAAGCATAAAAAATATATAAATTCAAATGAAAAAAATAAATTATTTATAATTATATAATATATTAAATTAGAATCACACATCATCTAGTTGATATTTCAGCTATTTTTGAACCATATCACTCATATATTGACACACTCTAAAATTCATCTTCATTTCTTAAATGAAAAACACATTATATTATATACAATATTTGGTTGAACATGTGTTTCTAATTGATGTTAATGATTTAATTCTAATCAATTATATCAGAGCCATAATTAAAATTACCGGAATTAAAATAGTCGGATTCATATTATCGTAACAGAATTGGATTGTAATCGAAATTTCTGTAATAAAATAGGCATGCAGTAAGTGAATTTGCAGTAAAATTAAATATCAAATCTCAGTATGCTATTAACTATGACCTTTATTTAAATAAGCAAACAAACTGAATATAATTATTTGATCAATATTTCAGTATGGTGCGTGATGCATATTCAACCTATATATTGCATATTCAATTATATATTATATTGATTTAAATGGTTTCTATACATTAGTCTGTT